TCTTTCTGGAGGGAGGCAAATGCCGCATTCAACCTGCAGAAAAGAGCTCGCGCAGACAGAAAAACAAACTTCTTGCCTGGTCATCTTTACGAGCGCATTTCATTGTTAAATAAAGTGAGCCCTTCTATATCGGACATTTGCTGTGTCTGCGTCGTGACAATATCTATCCATCTATTCAAAGGATTGCACGTGTATCATACGGTGTCTCTTTAATGGAAACTAATTATTTTCTGAGGTAGACTACTTAAGAAGCATAAAGTTGAAATTGTTACTGCTGTAAAACACCGCAGTGTTTCATGGAAGATACATCAAGCTCCGAACGCATGTTGCGTAATTCTTGAGCAAGTAACACTCATCAATGTTCGTACCTATATTGCCCAACCTATCCACTGAACACCAAAAAAATTGAGGGGCAAATAGGCTACAACAAAATTGTTTTAACAGAAATAGGCTACAACAAAAATTGTTTCAAAGTTTATTTAAAAAGCTAGGAATATAACTTATTACTCCTAATATTTTGTCCTTTGGGGCTGCTTCAGCGGGGCTCTCTACAAATTCCGATGTAATACAAGATTACCTTGCTGAGCCAATGATCAGCTCTCAATTTTTATTAGCCAATCTAACATTTACTATTTAACATTTACACTGTAAAGACATAACCTTCAGAAGAGTTTCATAAAACGATTTCTTCTCAGCCATTCAAAAAATTATATTTTTTCTTTGTTTTACTTTTTTCACATTGTACCAAATACTCTCGCCAAATCAAAGCGATGTATTCCTATTTCCCTAGCCTGAGTAATCTTAAGGCATTGACTTAAATTAACCGCCGGGTTCTTGGCCGATCTCCGTCAATTTGTGAGAGCCACGAAAAAGGATCAAGCAAGCAAGCAAGCAAGATGTAAATAAAAGAGCCACGAAAAAAAGGACCTAGCAAGCAAGCAAGATGGAAAGATTCATTACGAGGTTACGAGGCGCTTTGTCTCACTGAACGAGTGATGCCGAACTAGAGGCCATCAGAATAAGCGACACTTTAGGAGTCGTTGAATAATTCAAAATTCACCATTGAAAGCACTAAACCTTCTACCAACCCTTGGTGGAATGCAGACTGCTCGCGGGCTTATAGACTATGAAAAGCTCCATGGAAAAAATAATTTTTAGGCAGTTTTCCAGAAACTGGAGTTATTATAAGTATGCGGCCTCTATTTATAAGAGAACCATTGCTAATGCGAAGGACAAATTTACAACGAACGATGCGAGTTCCTTTCAAAGCCGGTCAATAGAAAACAATTTTCCCCTATCTGAGAAATTAGAAAGTTCTTCCGGTACTAACAACTATGGAATCTAGTATTGTCACCAGTTGAACTGAAGGCCTTCTTAGATATACCTCAGGGCATAAAAAGCCGCTTTACGACAATTCTCTCATACCAAGCGCAGTCCCCCATGGGGCTGAGGATATTGAAGTGGTCACACCTGCAGAACTAGCAAACGTAGACGGAACAATACCCCATTCTGCTCCTGGTTCTGATGGCATGACGACGGCGGTGATAAAACTAGTACATGAAATATACCAACTTGAAATTATTAATCACTCACTTAGAAGCTCTTGGATTCCACCCGATTAGAGAATGCCAAAAGTGATTCCATTATTAAAAAAACAAGGCGCTGGGTTTACCTTAGATAATATCAGGCCCATTGCACTTACATAGAATCTAGTAAAACTCGCTGAAAGAAATTTATATAGACGTATAGATCGATGGATGTCAGAAAAAATGGCACCGAGCCCATGTCGAGTTGAATTCAGACGTAGTTGCTCCATTTGGTGTGCGCACGTGGATCTTGAAAGCAGAATTCAACTTGCTCGATATCAGAGGCAATATTCCGCTTTGGTAACCTTAGATATCTCAAAAGCTTATGATAGCGTGGAGCGTGTTAAACTGCTAAATACGCTTCAGAACGTAGGACTGCCTCAATACTTTGTGGCCTGGATCCATGCTTTCTTAGGTGATAAGTTTACTGCTCGCAATCTGGTGTCAACTCTTCAATATATAGGCAAACGAGAGTTTTACCGCAAGAGTCAGTAATACCCTTATTATTTAATGCACTACAATGTACCATTCCCATACAGCAAGATGTACAGGGTTATGTGTATGCCGTTGATATTGCATTTTTTTTCGCTGCGTCGGCGGGACATTCACACACTTTATCTGATTCTGCAGACGTACATAAATAGCATGGAAACGTGGCTGGAGGATATAAACCTCTACCTCAATATTAACAAAAGCACAATCATAGTTTCCGCACAAAATGCCCCTGTGCAAATTTCACTAATGTATCGACAAGACGTCATACCACAGGTTGAGCCAGTTAGGTAGCTGGGGGTAACCTTATACACGGAAACACCTAACTGGAGTCCCCACATAGAAAACATGGCTACTAAAAGAGCACGTGCCATGTGGTATGCTGCACAGGCTCAGTAATTATCGTGCCGGTTCGGCGTAGAGACATGCTCGTCATGATATATTGCATGTACAATCGACGACCGATATTAGAATTCCACTGTTTTGTTTTCTGCCGCTCGGAATACAATGTCCGACCACTGATTCTGTTAGAACGTGAATCACTACGCTTATGCCTAGGGCTACCTAAATATGTTGAGAACAATATCTTATACGAATAATCACTCCTGTCTTCCCTTATCAAAAATTTGATATTCTAACAGTACGAACATTCCTTAAAATCTATGGATCACCTCAGAGGAGGTCACAGTATGTGTTCATTAACCAGCAGACCTCATTTTTTAACCACCGTTGGTCTAAATTACGGTTCCCTCAAGTAATATTTACACAGGAACTTTCGGACCCTTGGGAGTTAACTTTTGGTAAATACCTTACTCAACACTGTAATGCAATTAAGATTGAATTTGATTATATATACCCAATAGTGCAAAAAATTATCATATCAGTATATAGATGACATTTTAGAAGATCAGTTTGGCCAATCTAGACAAATCCATTGTGATAGTCCCTGACGCTTCTAATTATGAAGAGAAGGCTGGCGTAGGAATTGTATCATCCTCTCTAGGTTGGGCTTTCTCTATTCGATTACCCGACTTTACCCCTATTTACCAAGCTGACCTACAGGCAATAGTCCTAGCATTGCGTAATGTGCCACAAGATCTATCAGCGGTGATTGTTCTAATAGACTGTCTCTCGGTCTGTACTGCCTTAAGCTCACCAATTTTTTCGCGTAACTTAGAAACTTGATATTCGCTCATTCCTAGACATGTGCGACTCGTTCCACTAGTTTGGGTACCAAGCCTAGTGATTTAGCTCTCAATGAGCATGCAGATGCACTAGCTGTACCTTCCCGTGATTGTCCTGTTTTACCTATTTTGCCTACTTTCGAATATATCACAGCAGCATGCTTTGAAAAATGCACAACGGCCAATAACTTAACACTCTCTTCATTTCTATCAGACTATCTGCAGCTAAAGTTTCCTTGGAAGAACAAGTGGTGTTCATCAAGAAAGGAAGAATTAGTAATTGCAAGGCTGCGTCATCGAGTCCTTTATTGAACCTTTGCATTCACAGGTCAGGTCTGGCACAGTCGCCTTTGTGCCTTCATTGTAATGAGCGACTCTTTGGAGCACTTCTTTTTGTCATGTCCGAAAATTCAAGTCAAATGAAAAAATTCTTCTAGAAGAACCCCTATGAAAGTTGGACTTAAATTTGATACTTCCGGTGATTCTTTCGTTTGGCGCAAGTCGCATTTGGTTTCAGCCACTAGGACGTTTTTATCGCTGTTACAAATTTCTTACCAGAATCTAAAAGAATGGAATGCTAAACATAGATAAATTTAGTTGTTTTATGTATAGAAATATTTTGCCCTTTTTGCGTGTATTTCTAATGTTATCCTTTTCAATGTTTTTTGTTAAGAAATCTTACACGTTAAAGTTATTACCTATATTATCCAATTATTTCAACCCTTCCTTTCAAGAAGTGAATTATTTAAAAAGCAAGGCACCGTCTAATTCATGGCCAGTCCCCCCGGTGGGTTGCGCCAAGTTGTTGAGGAACCAGCCAACCTACAACAGCAACGCTTTTAATGAGCCGGTATAGATACCTTCGATGTAGAGATCTCGGCATCAATAGGGGCTCATGTCTGGCGTAACAAGTCGAGAAGGAGAAGAGAAGAGTTTTTACTGCGTGACAGGTTTTAATTGAAAAGCACGTATTTCGAAAATGGTTTTCGTTCTTTAAACTAAGGCGTTGACACTTTCCCTCAGTGACATCAGTCCGGAAGATCACAAGCGTTACCGTGGAGAGGATAAACGAGCTTCGCTTCAGTGAAATAACTTTATCCTATCCAGCAGTAATGAATACGGCTACAATGTTAATAACTTTTTATTCTGACGTCTGGTATCGCGTTGCCGAAATACCGGACTAACGTGTTCTTTAATAATCTGATATAAAGGATTGGTTGCATAGTGTCAGCAGTTCTTCAAGCACAATTATTCCATTGTGCATGAGAAACGTTATATAGTTCTTCGCGAAAAATAAATCTTTAGTGAATGCACACCGATCAGAATACGTGCGAGAGACTGTCATCATTCATCACTGGAGCTTGTTGCGAAAGCACTTTGACCCCGCCACTAGGGTCTAGTGGCTAAAGTACTCGGCTGCTGACCCGCAGGATGCGGGATTAAATCTTGGCTGCGGCGACAGCATTTTGAATAGAGGCGAAAATGCTCTAGGCTCGTGTGCTCAAGTTTGGATGCACGTAAAGAACTCCAGGTGCTAGAAATTTTCCGAGCCCTTCCACTACGGCGTCTCTCAGAAACATATGGAGGTTTTGGGACGTTAAACGCCGCATATGGAATGGCGAAAGCGATTTGGCTAAACGCTGATAAGGTCATCTTTTAGGTTGTGATAATAAACTAAGGTACTGATAGTATCCAAGTTTATGCGATGACTATGGTGCTACAAAGACTAATCCCGCAGGATGCTCCAAGGTGCAAACCAATACGTACAACGGGGAACGTCAAAGTGCTGCCAAGGTTTTCATCGATCCAGTCCTACACCGGGAAAATCTCCACGTGGCGCTGAAAAGCCACGTCACGAAGGTGAGAAAATCATCGTCCTGAAACATCTGTTTTACCGCCCCGCTTCAGTGTTCAAGTGGGTAAGGTACTTGGATGCTGACCCGCCGGTAGTGGAATTGAGTCCCGGCTTTGGCGGCTGCAGTATTGATGGAGGCGAAGCTGCTGTAGGCCCGTGTGCACATATTTCGGTGCACGTTAATGAACCCCAGGTGGTCGAAATTTCTGGAGCCCCATACTGCGGTGTCTCTCATAGCCATATGGTCAAGTGTTGGAACGTTAAACCCCACGCTTATATACATCCTTTGTCTCACCCGAAATTATAAAAAATACTTAGATCCAATAACCAGCTATCTTAGCAAGTTTGTACTTAAAAGGAGGCTAGGCTACCGCTGTTACGAGTGCACACCTCTTGAGTATCTCGCAGACACAATGCACTATGAAGGCTTTCATTACAGTTCTGCTGGGATATCGGTTCATATGCAACGATCGCTCCACAGTAACCTCTAGCAGTTATGAAGTGTACATACAATTTTGTATTTGGACTCGCTTGCTTCTTCTCGGCATAGTGCTGGATCTCCTGTGCTGGTGCTGTGTAGAATGAGTGATATCAAGTGTGTGCTTCAATACCTCTCGCTTCACTTGCCGGTTTAAAAAGACCCTTTGTGGAGCTTAGCAAGTAAATAGCTGTGCTACTTAGCTGTGCGAGCCCCGCCGCGGTGGTCTAGTGGCTAACGTACTCGGCTGCTGACCCGCAGGTCGCGGGTTGGAATCCCGGCTGCGGCGGCTGCATTTCCGATGGAGGAGGAAATGTTGTAGGCCCTTGTGCTCAGATTTGGGTGCACGTTAAAGAACCTCAGGTGGTCCGAATTTCCGGAGCTCTCCACTACGGCGTCTCCCATAATCATATGGTGGTTTTGGGATGTTAAATTCCACATGTCGTTACTTAGCTGTGCGAGATGCAATCGATTATCGTCCAGTGTAGCCGCATTTGGATGGGGGCAAGACGCTAAGGTGCCCGCTAGGGTGCGTAAATATTTCGAAGTGGTTAAAGTTTATCAGGAGTGGCTTCCGAAAACGTACTTTGTAGTCATATCAGAGTCATATAGTAGGCTAACACCACAAGAGTGAAGGAAAGAGACGCCTAAACGACAATCCATGCCAGCAGAGAACTCGTGCCTTCGCTTCGCGTGCCACCGCCAAAGCGCCCGTCTTTATTTTCTTCCTTTTGCGGTTGCGTGCTCTTCGTTTAGCGCACTGGTCTAAACGAGCACGCTACAGAGCCCCCCGTGTAGACTGGAAGTGAAAATCTGACGTGTTTTGGGAAGTACAACGGAAGGTCAGACGTAGGTGAGAGGCTTTCTGTTGTGGTCTCCAGGTACACCGGCTTAAAGCGGTTCGGGCCGTCACACGCGCTACTCTTAGGGCCATTCTACGCATTTCCACACAGCCGCAACGCACTTGCCCGAACTCCTGCCGCACGCAAGCAGAGGGCAAATAAACCAATTGGTGATGCTCTTTTCCCCCTCCGCTTGAGTGCGGCAGGTGTGCCGGCACGTGCGTTGCAGCTGTGTGGCTAGTGGATGGAATGGCCATTCAGGCTGTCTCTCTTTGCGCCCGCTTCGGAGAAGACTGACAGTTTTTGGGTGTGGTTAAGGACGCAAAAGGGTTCGTCGTATACTAGCGTTAAATGTGGTCTGCCCACCTCATGGCGCCTGAAAACGTGTGCTGAAAGGGCCAAATGAGGGTGGAAATTGCTGCCTTGTGATTGAAAGGTCAGGGTGGCTTGGGCCGGGAGTCTTGAACGCAGCCCAGCAGGCGTCGTATGAATGGTTGTGGCTGAGCTGGCAGCTACGTTCATGTAAAAGTCTCCAGGAAGCCCTGCAAAACTTCTCTACACTAGCTCTGCTGCTGAGCACTGCAGGGTCTGCTTGATAACAGCTCGCAAACCTAAGCAGCATCAATGGAAAGGCATCAACTGCGGTCGCTTATATTAGGTGGGTGATGAGGGTGATTTTCAGTTGTCAGTAAAGGTGTTCAGTCATGCCGTTGGTGCAGGGATGATACGCAGTAGTACGGCTATAGTTTTAGTTTAGCGCGCTGCACCGGCCTAGCGCACGCATCGCCCTTAATGGAGCACAGCTGCGCATGCGCCGTACGTAACAGAGATGACTTCGATTCCGCACACGATGGATGCGTGCACTAGATATAGTCTCTTACGTCGCGCACGCTACAGCCGTTGGACACCTTAGCAGTGGCTCTCGTGAGATCTCGAGCAGCCAAGACCAAAACAGACAAGATGGATGCGACCGACAACACTATGGTGGTCGTGGCAGCGAACGAAGTCCGTGTGACCTTGGATGGATTTGGAACCTAAATAAGTAACCTGAAGCCAACAAGTGAACAGGTGCAGTAGAATGGGATCACTGCTAAGCTGGAGTATTTACGAAAAAGCAGCAACACGATGGGAACGGGGAGCACCACGATGAATTTTTGGATTGTGTACGGGGTGTCATGTTTGTGATCCCATAAACTGTGGTGGTTGCTGCGTGTTTTAACCAAAGTATGTGTGAATGATCGCCTGCGAAAGCATTCCAAGTGTTAGAAAGTAAATGTTATATCTGGCCACGCATATAGCGTGCATGCGGATGCAAGTGGGTGTTCTACGAAACTCAGGTGATGTTTCCCGCACACGGTGACCTCATCATTGTGAAATTAGCTATCAGGAAATGAAGAATGACACGCGAGAACGGCGTTGCCATATGGGGCATTTTGCACTCAGAATTTAGCAACTCCAGTTTCTTTTTTGTTTTGTGATCTTAGAAAACGTATGTAGCAAACAATAAATGTTAAGTTGGCAGTAGGTGATCATTGTCGCCGTCTGTGTCCCTCACGCTGCTAGTTCACCCCACCTCAATACCCCAAACCACTACTCGTCCTCGGGAAAAATCGCCTTGTCTCACGCCCTGATTTGTGTGTTGCGTTGACGAATATTGATTATTACAACTTCTAGCCTCTGCACGAGATGGTGTGAAGTAACACTCAAAGGCAAGCCTGTTGACGCTTAGGTGCAGTACACGTTTCAGATGTTGCGCATGGTAAGCTAATTTTTAACACGCAGCCCTAAACGTAGCGCTGGAAGCGCGCTGCACATTGCGCACGTACAGCCTTGCGTACACTAAACTAAAACTCTCTGTTGTGTGGTTTCGAGCATGTGATTGAGAGACGTAAACAGCCACGATTGAACTTGACGTCCAAGGTGACTTGTCACAGTGCCAGGAGAGCCAAATAAAATACCCATGTGGGAATTAAGGCGTGGGCAACTTTATAAGCTGTGATATCTTGGATGCCAGCCTCCGGCTAGCATGTCAAACTATCGACCATGGTGAATATAGAACTGTAGTTCTGAGACACTGATAGAGGTCCGACAATGTTCAGCTTCACGTCCGTAGCGGGTCCGTTTCAAGGCTATGTGGTACAGCGAGAATTACGACTCAACTTGGTGAAACCAAGGTTGCGGGTTCCTCGGGCGAGAAAGATGGGAGAAGCAGTTTCACCACCGAGACGTCCTGCAGACGTGAAGCTTCTTCAGTTGAGGGTGCGTTCGGATCAGTAATTTTCTGCGTCCTAGGTCACAACTTGTAGGCTAACGCCACAGAAGCGAAGAGACGGCTGACCAACAGTCAATGGCAGGAGTTCACATAAGTCTTGGCTTTGGGTGCAACCGCTAAAGGCCATCTTTATTTTTTTCGCCCACTCTCCGTTTTGTGCGCCATTAAAACGACAGTGCTACATCATCAAGCTCGTTAACCCGACTACGCCCGCTGCTAGGCAATCATCACTGTCATCGTCTGCCAGTCAACCTGGTCCGCCTGTTCGCATTTGCTTATTACATCCTCAAGCTTCCTAATCTCATTTGCCTACCTAACTTGGTCATCCATCACGCTTTCGTCTTCTCTTGAATGCAGTCACTTTCTCTTAATCACTAGCAGTTATCTCGCAGACAAGCGAAATGCCTTGACTGTGTCCGTGCTTGCTTTCGACTTTAATATTTTTATGCCATTTCCCGCACTGATCCATTCTCATGTATCCTTGTCCCTTAAAGGGCGGCTCACAAGGCCCCATACCAAATTTTAGTTAGACAGTGGACGTTTCGGGTGTCCGATTGTCATGTGTGAACATGTCATTTACCTATGTCGTCCTTTCGCGTCCCGTAATGTTGAATTTGGTACGTGTGAAGCTAGCGAGACAGCCGCGAGTGCTCCATGAACGTAGCATGTAGTCTCGTTGTTACATGACACGCATCACATGATTATTATGCTTGCACGAGTCACATCCCTTTGCGTCCACTCACGTCCCTTAATACCAAATTTGGTGTTTGTGAAGCTAGCGAATTGGCTGCGAGGCCATCATGAGTGTGGCTTGCAGTCATGTCACATGACACGCATCTCATGATTATCTTGTTTGCACCAGTCACATACCTTCGTCATCCATTCGCATCACGTAACGCCGAATTTGGTATATGTGAAGCTAGCGAGACGGCTGCTTGCGCATCATGAGCGTGGCGTTTAGTCATGACTCATGACATACATGACATACATGTCATGATTACCACGTTAGGGTCTGTCGCTTGTGTTCGCCATGCAATCATGTCATGCCAAACCAGTCTTGCAACATGTCATGTGAACGAGACCAGCGCAAAAGCAGCAAGACCATGAGATGTAAACTTACTTTTATGACATACATGTCATGATTTTCATGTTACTCGTCAAATATGCTCGTCATACAGTCATGTTATGACATACGAAGTTTGGTATCGATACCAATATCCAAACGGCCAGGACAGCTAAAAGTCGTAAGCGGATGGATGGATGGATGGATGGGTAGATGGATGGATGGATGGATGGATACGCTCAGTCACCGAAGTTCGCTAAGAAATGCTTCGCATTTAAAATGGAAAAAAAAGCTCTATTATCTTCTTGCGTCTCATTATTTATCTAGAGCTCTATTAATCTTTTCAAGCC